TATATATAATTCAAGACGTAAGGGGCTATCTTATGAAATCTTCAGCTCTTATACCTCATTTGTTCTCATCGTTGATATTGTCTAATTCGTCACTTTTTATGTCTTTGGCTGAGTCACATTTAATCAATGCGTACTTCAATCAGCTAAAGAAATACGAAATGTCTGAAGAAGAATGAAGTGAAAATATATCTGATCACTAATAACCAATTGATATTAGTTATCAACTCAATAGTATGAAGAACGTCACGGAGTACGAATGCACCTAGGCGAGAGACAAAAGGAATCCTAGGTTGAGTTCACAAGTTTGCTCTGTTGGGGAGTGTAATCCATTTTCTTTGATACGAGAACCGACCGTTCAGGGAAAAGGGATGAGTTCGAAGTCAGAAGAAAGAGGAAGACTTTATGTAGCAAAAACAGAAAACAGCTTGTGAAATGCGTTCCCATGTTACGGCACTCGATGATTGATCTAGATGAATTGGATTAAAACGCCTATTGAACAGGGAAGTTTCCAATTTGTGACATAAGTTCATGTTTCATACGTGTGAATGATAACAAACAAGTATACATAACCTGATTTATTGTTGACTATGGTAATAAGTACATGTACTTGATGTATACGTTTAACCCCCAGTAGATAAAAAACAGGAGATAAGACGAGCAAGACAAAATGGAGATGTTCCGGCAAGTTTTCTGTTCATCTGCATGGCATTATTATCGTTGTGTTGTTGTTGTTGTTGTTTTTGCTGTTGTTGTATTACCAAGTCACCCAAACCAACTTTAAAGGTCTACTGAAATCATCATACTCTGAGGGTTGGGCAGAACGGTTTAAGATACCCAACGTACAAGTGCTATATTTCGTGTTCACAATTTATTGAAACCCTGTGTTCAATCGACCGAATCACCTGCCTTTTGGACGTTGCCCTCAGGTCCGGAGTACTCCATGCATTCCATTGTTCCATCGCACCATTGATTGTGTATCCAGAAATCCTGGAGCCAGTTTGCATGACTTTTGTAGGTTAATTTGAAAAGAGAGCTTGTCAGCTGCAGCGGCCGAGTTAGTTACTGAATTAAGCACAAACAGATAACTTTATATGAACCCCGGGGTCCGGACGTTACTAGCTTTTGGTATACTGTTGCGTGCAGCAACAGTATTTGAAAGTAATTACCACCGCTCTGATTTGAAACGCGAAGTTGCCAATCTATTCCTTTCGTCTGTAACTTACAGAAAAGTGAACAACTACCCTTCTTATATGAGCTTTTGACAAATCAAGACAATGGTGCCATCCAAAGAAGCGTCTTCCGCAAAACAACGTCGGTTGGACAGTAGACGCATTGTTGTAGCTTTGTCCCCTTAAAATATAAACATGACCTGGTCAGATGTTTATCATACCGAGCCCGTGCGATTCGCAGCGAAGGTATACTGCAATCTGAGATACGTTTTATTCATGACGTACTTCAATCAAACGGTTACCCGGAAGCTTTTATTGATAAATGTATACGGCCGAAGACCAAAAAAAACACAAGACCTATCCTCACGAAAATGTTTTCCTCACCGTTACGTTTAAGGGCGACGATACCATGGAATTTCTCAAAAGACGTTTGTTTAAAGTGATATCTAAAACGTTCCCTGCAGCTCTACCGCGTATTCTCACTACCAATCGGCCCTTAGTGTCCCAGCAAATAAATCCAAATCGTTCGTTTTATATCATTTCACACGCACTTGAACATACGACCAGGTGATTATCAAAACGTATTTCTGACCACTGTTCTGCGGTACTGTATAAAATAACATTTGAGTGCATTCGTCGCTCGGTTCTCGGTCTTCCCATGGAAAGCGGGCATTCTGTGAACGAATAGGATGTATTCATAATTATTCACACTATACCCCGGAGATATTCCAAGGGAATAAGAAGACGCCTTTTAGCCTCGCCCGAGGCGATTACTATTCGCATTTTCAACCCAGAGTTGTGCAATCAAAAGAAACTGGTCCAAACAATGTTGGTACCCTGATCTGGACGGCGGATTGATTGTGCATAAAACAGAACATCAACCGTCCTCTCCACACCCCCACTCCTCACCCGGTACTATCATCTACCTCAAATTTAATAAATAACAATTTTTGTCTCTCCTCTCACTTCCCGATTACATCGGTTGTTATACCTAACAGATAGTTTTTAGTGTAGCCTACGTAACTTCATCCTGCTCTCTCTTTCGTCAGAGCTTACAACATTCAACAACATTTTTATCTGCCAATCTCTCTACTGTTGCCTACGAGCCTGCGGCTTAAGTGCGTACGTTCTGTCAACCTGCGCGTCGTTAATTTGTTCGTTCCATAGAATTTATCGATTGATATCTACTCACATCGATCAACCTGACTCGCTTGCCTATGCTAATACTGCCGGCCGACATGGGCCCGATCCTGATTGACTGTTAGTTCTTTTTCTGCCTTGTCGAACATACATTTGGTTGTGTACGAGTCATGGTAACCTATTCTACCCTGCGTACGTTTGTTTTACTCTGCTAGCGGGCTACGGGCTCGAGATTACGCAGTTTGAAATCCAAACGTAACACTAACGTTTTCCATTTGACCTTAGTCCTAACACCCCTTCCGCGACTCTGGCCTCGACTACCACTAGCTTTGTCGCATTCGCTTACTTGGCTCGCTCACCCTCGACGTCGTTATAGACTGAGCTGTAATCGGTCAATTAGATATCTGGACTACAATTTAACCGCTTGATGTGATATATTGACAAGCAATTTCTTCGTGAACACCGATTTCTACGTAATCTGAGAAAAACAAATCATCAGTAGAACCAGAGTCAAATTAAACACACAAAGAAATCCTATTTTTGCCTGTCCATCATGTTCCTAATAGAGAAAGTCCGATTTGCTGCACTGTCAACTTGCGGATCGTTTTCACCAACTGTCTTCTCTGCCGTATTCGAGGCTTCTAATGACTCAGTTGACTGAAGTTCTGCTGTGTAAACCGCAGCACATGTGTCAAACAAATATGGCACTTTCTGATCGCCAATCTCCATGTGGGTCTGGACAGAACAAATATCAGCCGTTCCGGAATGGACCTTGTCTGGGGAAGCCAATTTGAACGCACACAACTTGCGTTGTGTTTCGGGGCAATTTTCCTGCCAGCACTCAGGATCTTCGAGCTAAACATCCCCATTCTCGATGGCATTCTGGTTGGAATCTGTTCGGATGGCTGTCACCTCCGTTAGTTTCTTGATGGTTGCCGTAATTCTCATAGGCTGGAATCTGGGACCTATGGTTGACTGGACAGGCGTCATTTTCTTCCAGGTGAATTCCCTCAATACATCCGCCAGTTTGAAAAAGTATTCATGGTCTTCTCGGCATTATTTATCCATGCCGTCTGGCGCAGATCTTTTGGCAGGCTGTCCATGACACGGTCGAGAAGTAAATCCTCTCGCATGACATCA